CGTGACTATTACTCGATTAAATTGTTCAGTTTGGGGTTGTTCGTTAGGAAATATTTGGTTGTATAATTCATTACTTATTTTTAATATTCATTCACTAATATTACATTCGTTAACATTGGACAAATCCAAAAATATTAGAAATTCAAAGAAAAAACGAATTCGCGAGGAAGCATGCGTCTACAGATTAATTTATATACGTAATGAGCAAACGAAGTCCAAAAATTAAAGTACACGGTGAAAGTGAGGTTGAAGTTCGGCGAACTGCCGTTTTACTGCGAGAATGGATGTAATTTTTGCATCGTCCGTTGAAAATTTCGAAAGCTTGATTCCGTGGAGTACAATTGTCATGTGCTCGAAACACGAGTGAAAGGAATATTTAAGGACACGTCGTTTCGAGGAATATTTCGTCCCCCATTTCCGGTTCGCCTATACAAACTTGAGCCAGTGGTTCAGGTTGCGTCAGACAACACGTGTACACACGTATTTATGAAGCGGGAGTGTGCGCGCGCACCACCTCGTATTTATACGTACTCGGTCATCCAACGGATGGAATATTCATAATTTGGAGCTGTTCGAGCGGATCCAGCAGCCTCGAGAATTTTCCAAGTTTTAGTTATTGCGTTCAGGGAAGCTCCATTATTTTTTCATTTGAATTCTAATGACGTATTCTTCAAAAATTTAACGGAGTAGAAAGATTGCAAAGAAAGATGCAAACTTGACCAGTGCTCGACAAATCTCGAGTCAAACATCGCTCCTCTATTTGTGCATCTATGCTTCGAATCATGCTTCGACGTATTCTTCTCTCTATGCTTTTATCCATGCTCCGATTCATGCATCTATTCATGCTTCTGTCCCCGTTTCGTTTCACTCTTCTATTCAAACAGTTAAAGACCACTCACATCGCAACCAAAAAATGTCGATTCGCGTTCCAAACTTAAATCTCTCACACCCCCAAACGTTAAGGGAAACTCCATTATTTTTTAATTTGAACGTATTCTCCAAAAATTTAATGGAGCAGAAAGATTTCAAACTTGACTAGTGCTCAACAAACCTCGAGTCAAACATCGCTCCTCCATTCGTGCATTCATGCTTCTATTCATACCTCGATTCATGTTTCTATCCTTACCTCGACTCATGGTTCTATCCTTACCCCGATTCATGCATCTATGCACCCTTCTGTCTCCGTTTCGTTTCACTCTTCTATTCAAACCGTTAAAGACCACTCACATTGCAACCAAAAAACATCGATTCGCGCTCAAAAATTAAACCTCTCACACCCCGCAAAACACTCTCTAGATCTCTCTAGACCCACTTCCCCTCGTCTCCGTAACTTCGTCTAAAAAACCGAGTTAGAAGAAAACTCTATCCCCGTTTCGTTTCATTCTTCTATCCAAACCGTTAAAGACCACTCACATTGCAACCAAAAACCATCGATTCGCGCTCAAAAATTAAATCTCTCACACCCCGAAAAACACTCGCCTCTCTAGACCCACTTCCCCTCGTCTCCGTAACTTTCCCTAACTTCCTCCAAAAGAAACGAGTCAGAAGAAAATTCTAAAAAAGAGTCGTCGTCGCATAGACTCAGCTGCGCGAACGTTAACGAAGCGGCCGTTCGCGCGTCACACGTAACCGGGGAATCGCGCGCAGCCGCTCGCCAAACAAGCGTGCGACGATGTGTAATGTTCGGAGCACGGAGAAGCATATGGGAAGACAAGAGAGATGGAGAGACACATGACGAAGCGAGCAAACCAGCCGGAGAGCCACGGGTTACAACGTGCCTCCTATATGATGTACTGGTTTGCCTGGCGGCGGTGGGGTCAGGGACGTGACGAAGGGTGGGTGTTATGGTGGAGCGAGAGGGGAAAAGTCTTCAGACACCAGGGGCAGGGGAGGGCAACTCGCGATAAGTGGGGAGGGGGAGATGCCGACAGAGAGTAGGTAGGGCACACGAGAGTAGAAGACGTTCGTATGTACGTGTAGTGTTGAATGGGGAATCGGTGGGGAGAGGGGCGAGAGAGCGAGCTGAAAGCAGGCCTGTTGGTTGGTTTCAACTATATTTGTTTATATTTACACAATAAGCAACAGCCTCGCCGGTTGGGCGGCACGGCATGCCTGTGTGCCGCTTTTAGTGTTTAGTCCTCGCTACTCGGTCGCCGCGTGAACGTTGCTTTTCGTCTTCTTTACGGCCGTCATCGTTTCACCTCTTCGCCCTCCACGGTTCCGTTCGGAGGACTTCTCTTTCTTTTTCGAACGCGTTTCGTGCTCCGCTTTGACGGCCCCGTCCACGTGCTTTCCAAACGGAGTGGGGTACGATTATATTAATAAAAATTAATTCGATACGTAGTCGGTTTTTAAATTAAGTATGGAATCGGTTACTTGGAGCGCGGGAAAATTGAAACAATAGTGATTCGCTGGCGGGGAACGATTGCTCGACGACGTCTTATTCGGCGAAAGGATATTCTTGACTAATTATTGAAGCACTCGATTCACGCGTCGAATAAAAATCGGAGATTTAATTCGTTTCGAAATCGGAGTGGGAAACTTTAACCAATGGAGTGCTTCCTAAAAAATAATTTAGAGTAATCGAAATAAATATGTAGTTACTAGTTCGAATCGTGCAATGAAAAGTAGAAGTTTAATTACGGAATTAGTTGTTTCGAGATTGGAGTGGGGAAATTTAATCAATTAACTGTTTGGTGGAAAATAATTAGTCGACAATGTCTTTTTCAACATTCATATTCGAATAATTAATGAATGGACAACTTGGAGTAAATATTCTTGACTAATTATTCACGTATTCAATTTTCATGTCCAGGATACAAATTACACACTCGGTGAAAAATAATTATTCTCCAACGTCTTATTAAGCATCGAGTGCATCGCACTCGAACGAACCACTCGGAAGAATATACTCCATTAATAACACAATCGCTACCGTTCTCAAATAAACTCCGCGAATCGATTCCTATACTTTTAAAATCAACTGAAAATTACACCCGTCTTCAATTTCGACTCCTCGACAGTGTGTTTTCGACCCGGTGTGCGCGCCGTAGACGGATTAACGTTTCCAAGTTGAATGAACGCGATTCATTCGGATACTTTGCCCGAGATATGTGCGCACGATGATCTTCGCGCGACGCTAATCGATTCGCGAAATCGTGTGGCAGTTGTTCGATGCATACGTTCGCAGAGGACGAGCACACTTCCGTCATGGTGTTTCCACGTTACCGAAGACGTGGGTCTAGTCGCGTGTGGTGACGCAGTTCCAGTGTGACGACGCGTATTTGACCTTTTTTTTTACTTTCCCGCTTCATTTCGCGGAAGTGTTACGCCCAGTGTGTTTGTGCCAGTGTGAAACGATTTGATCCGCTTCGAAAGGACGCACTGTGCGCCGTGGCGGAGATATTAAACTACGCTTCTTCCATGAATTCCAAGCTGACCGTTGGTTGGCTTCCATTCAGGACCAAGGGACTACGATCTCGTTACGAGAACGAGCGCGACATTTACGCGTTGTACGATTGCTTTCGGGGGTGGAATACAGTAAGTCCGCGTATTTACGGATTCGTTGATACACGTGTGGTTCGGTCGTTCGTTCCTTCGCGGATGGGTTTCCTAAAAGGGACGTTGGGGTTTTAGTTTTTAACGAAGACATGAGCGGTAGCGGTAGTAGTTGAGATTTTATTTTACACATTCTAAGAGAGCACATGTAGTTTCGTTCCTATAAAGATTGGTATTTTAACACGTCGACCGCCATGTCACCCATTAATGGGTGACAGTGCTGTTTACTGAAGAAATAAAAAAATTAATTTTGAAAGTTGAATATCAAAGAAAATGAATTCATATGAAATATTTGAATTTCGGCGAAGTCACAAAAATAAATACCACAACAAATGTTTGATTACGTAGTCTCCAATGGTCAGTAAATAAGATTTAATCGCAGTAGAAACTTTTAAGAGTATTAGTGTGGCAGTCAACGTGTTAAAATAACAAAATGGCGAGTACTAATTTCTGTTAAACGTTGTATTTATCGCAACGCAGAAATTGAATACTGCGCTAAATTGAATACTGAAGGGGTGAAATTCTATGCTAAGCTTCGATGTCGACAGGTGTCAACTCCTGAACCATTTTAATTTTCGCAAAAAATTGAACATAATTACATATTGCACATCTGGCGAGTTTCAGCCTCGCAAGGTGATAAAGGAACAGTTGGCACGTGGTACGACAAAGTTGATGTCGATCGTTCCATTAAAACTGAAAAAGATACGCGGATAGCTTATTTTAAAATCGATTCTAGAATTATTCCTAAATGGAGCATTCCTAGAATTCGCTGTTTATTATTAGCGGCGTGTACGAGCGCAACATTGTTGCTTTCGCCACGAGTGCAATGGAATTACACGCGTCAGACGTGATCTAAAATTGTTCCTTCGCCGAGGGTAATATCGAATAACAATGCGCGCTTCGAGACCTTCTTAGAACCGCCATTATTCTTCACTTGCGCGCTCTGACAGGAGTAAACTTTCGTACCGGGGTGGGCAACATTCTTATCTGGATAAATACATTAACAACACTGTTGTGAACACATGTATCACTGTACAGTAGCAATTGCTTACATCGAACTTTTCCTTATTTTTCTCTCTCCGTTTCTGAATTTCTTGAAATCCTTAAAGTATTATTTTCTAAATTGTGTAATTTAAAAAGAGTTCCGAAAGGGTCATGTGAAAAAGATTTGGAAACTTATTTGAAAATTCAGTAATTGCCTCGGAAATTGGCCATTGAAGATGAAAATATCGGATACCGAATAGAAGGATAACTGTGTATCAATTACTTCTCAAGTAAATATTATAACGCAGTGGAATTTGTAGTGGATAATTAAAACTCTAACTCTTTGATGTAATAAACGTACGAATTGTTGTATTTCCATTCGGTATCCGTTTAAATAAAAATTCTGAAGTTCGCTGTACCGGAATTCAGCGATTGACGAACGGTGATCGTGATTTCAGGACGATGGCATAATGGATCATGACACAGACGGAGACGGCGCGATCAACTTGTCAACGTCGCAACGACCCTCCGCCGCCACCACCCCTAATGGTGACACCCCCTCGTACGGGCAAGATCAACAAGACAACGACCAGGTAAGGAATTAGTCTACAGAAATTTCAGTCTGGCAATATAATAATCTATTCCGCAGTCGTCCCTTGGGGTAACAGTTACTTAACCCAATTTTTATTACGTTAACCCTCGGTTAACCACCTGGAATTTTGTATACCGATCCAAAATTTTGTGCTCGACTTTCTTTATTCAAGTTTGGATCGTTTCGACAGATTTTAATATTTACTTCTAAAATTTGTGACGTGATATGTGATAGTAAAGAATTCCAGGGAAATCTTCTGGATCTTTTTCTTTAAAGTGTTTAGATTTGTTTACTTTATTCTCGTAGTCTCGTCCAGTAATTTTTACGTAACTCTCTGTAGCAGAAGTTTTCGAAATAGTGGCGGGCGTGATGCATCCGTTTCTTAGTAGCAAGGGTTAAGACTGAACAAAACAAACACTAAAATTTGTTACTTTCATTCCTGGTCTCTACTAATTTTAGAAGCAAACATCTGCTCGCGCTCAATAAAGTCTAACGCGCGTTAAGACTAAAGAGACCATACGTTCCGATTTCGGCGAACCAGTCCCGCTTCATACTTTTCATTTTCAATAATTGTAATCCGATATGAAATAACAGAACTGTCTTTAACATAGTAAACTCAATAATTGATTCTGAAGCTCAATTAAGTTTTATCAAGCTAGAAGATTTAAAGTCAACTCGTTTCAATTACCATAATCAAGCAAATAATTAGATGTTAAATGAGAATATTTTAAAATTGATTATTACTTAATTTAATAGACAAAAGTTATCCATTTCGAAGAAATTTTATATTACGGTGCCCCAACTCGCATTAGTGAATGCATCCGAGGGTCCCATTGTTTCCCAAGAGCAGCGATAATCCTCGATTAGGGTCGTTGTCGAAAATCGAAAAGGGAATCGAACGATCGACCGCGTCAAAGCGTCGCGATACAAGACGAGAAAACGCCTAAACCGATAGCGATCCGCTTCGTTTTGGGGTGTTTCGACCTTAAAATCGACAGTTCCTTTTCTTCCCCTCCCTCTTGTAGTAAACTGGCCCGAGCCGCGATACTTCCGAGGCGTTTGACACCCAGCTACCATAAAATCGAGCCCCCTGATTTCAAATTCAATTCAAAATCCCGCGTTCGCGGCTGAACGCAATATACCACTCCGGGTTGCCTGGGCGAGCACCGTCGAGGGAAACAAATGTTTTATGGCCCTTAAAGCGGCCTTTTCGACGGTTTCCTTTTCGAAGGGGGGAACGATATGGTCGCAACGCTCTGGGCGCAGGTATAGAAGCCGGCTTCAGAATGCATATATGCGCGACCGGCGTGGTTCGAAACGCCTCGAGAACTGTAGCTCTATTCCTATTCGTTCCACCGCGTTTCAAAACATCGGGTAATTGAGTTGAATTGCTTGGAAATATATTTTACTATTCCTATTGTTTTCAAACTTTATATTTGACATTTAACGGACGGGCCACGCGATCCACGTTTTTCCATTCGTGACTTCCTAGGACGGTAGATTTACGCTTTTGCTTGAATGTTTACTACGGTGTGTTAGAAAGTGCCCCGGTTTAAAATTTTTTTAAAAGACAAATTTTTATTTTTATTTTTTTTTTTTTTATTTATTTATTTATTTAATTAAGCAATTACAATAAATCCTCATAGAGAATTATAAGGAATTAGGTTAGCGTGTTACAGTGGCATGGTTTGTAAGTTTCAGTTACTTACATTCTGGAATTTACTATCTAGTGTGATTACAATATGCGAGTCTGTATTTAGTTAATTGAATCTATTGGAAAGTTCTAGAGGGTAGTATCTTTTCAATTTACGTGCGTGAGCTGCAGTGTCTCTGAGTTGGGTGACAAGAGGATTCGGATGACCAAAAAGACAAATGATGTGGGACATACTTGAGAACATACTTTATATATATATACTTAATATATATTTAATATATTAATATATTTTATTAAATATGTAAAGTATGTTCGTTATTGTGTTATCGTACTTCGTATCGTGTTCGTTATCGTATGTATGTTATTAAATATATAAAGTAATAATATTAAATGAAGTAAATTGACTGTGTCGATGACTGTATTATTGTCTAATGCACTGTCAATTATTTTATTCGGTGTATTTTGCTTATTTATACAACTATATTTATTCAGTTTATGAAATATGTCATATTCGTACAATATATTCGCATATACTATATTAATCTGTTTAACACGGCTACATTGAGAGACGTATTTTGTTATCAAGAAGAAATTTCAAAGTCCTTTTTGGAAACCAGAAAATTAGTGTATAGAAGTAAAAATAAATATACGTTCGATAGAAAAGCTACGTGAATACTGTTGTTAACTCAACCTCGACTACTAACAATAGACAGTATCGGAGCAATAAAAGTTTCAAACGATAACGTGCATTCGCGATATTGCACATTCTAGAAATTCCATCCTAACAAGGAAATAACACGGTTACTGTAGTCAAAACTGTTGCCAAATGTTTCGCTCCAAAGACAATATCGATTCGTGATGGATAAACAACAAATTACTGTTTCTTACTCTAATATCAGATCACTGTCTCTGAAAATTCAATTAATATTCGAATTAATCGTTTTGAATTTATGTAGAAAAACATATTAGTTGGCGGTTGTTATATTTATTTGGGACACGACATTCCAGTGGACTTAATAGAATAAACTCGTTGTGCATGGACCTTCATTGCTTTGGAGATAAGGTTTCTCGAAGATACCCGAGACATGTGTGCACTCCACCGAATTCCGGCTTCAAGGATATTTTTTACAAGCCCGCCTAGGGTATCTGTATGTCAGCACCCAAAGGCATTCGACAATAACACAGTCATCGACACCGTCAATTTACTTCATTTAACATCGTTACTAATTATTGGATAAAATCACGTGTTTTATTTTGACACATCAATGTTTATTCAATAATGAGAATAACGCAGTCATCAACCATCAAATTACTTCATTTAATATTATCACTAATTATTGGATAAAATCACGTGTTTTATTTTCACACATCAAGGTTCATTCAATAATGAGAATAATACAGTTATCGACACCATTAGTTTACTTCATTTAACATCATTACTAATTATTGGATAAAATCACGTGTTTTATTTTCACTCATCAATGTTAATTCAATAATGAGAATAACACAGTTATCGACACCATTAGTTTACTTCATTTAACATCATTACTAATTATTGGATAAAATCACGTGTTTTATTTTGACACATCAGTGTTCATTCAATAATGAGAATAACACAATCATCGACACCGTCAGTTTACTTCATTTAATGTTATCACTAATTATTAGCTAAAGTCACATGTCTTATTTTCCCACATAAATATACATTCACCAATCCCAATTAATTACAAAAAAAGTCCACCATTTTTCCCAATCGATTCACCATCGACTCGCGTGCCCCGTCGTTCCCTCGAAAATCAATTTTCTCAACAGAATCACCGCGCCCCCCCCCCCCCCCCAAACAAATATCCTCCCTAATTCCTCATTAAATTTTCTTTCCATCCAGGATTACTTCTAATTCGAGGTTGCACCGTGTAGTATTAATATCTTCACCCCTTTTCGCGTGGAAAATCCCGCGATAATTCGCCGGTCATCGATAACGTCCGGTGGCGGGAATAAATTATTATAATAATCGCTGTCTCGCGCGCGCGCAGTCTTCAAGCACGGCTCGCCGGGGTATTTTTATTCGTACATCGTTTACACGGAACACCCTCGCACTCGTGTACGTGCAGATAGTAACGGTGAATATCAAGTTCACGTGACGCACCAGGTAAATACGTGTGTACCAACACGTCCGCGTGAATTACACGCGCGACACGTACATCTGCTCGCTTGTTGGTTACGTGTAAACAGAGATTCGCTTATCGTCGCTCTGACACGTACACATAAGTGTACAGAGAGAGATATTTTTGGGATTATTTCAACGACACACTGGTCTAGTTTCCTCGAGCTTCGGTACTTTTTTCTTTTCCTTCGGTTCGTTCTCGTTACAAGCAGTTTCCACGTTGCATCGAGTTAATTAAACGAGAGGCAATCGTTAATTCGATTCGAGCGCGAGTCGCACGGGATGCGATCTACGCGATATAATAATCGAGCGATTACCTGGTTATTCGGACTTCAGTGCGTTACTCTTTACCATAAGTGCATTATGCGCTGGAATCGGAACGGTATTAATTTTCTGAGTCACGGATGGATATATTAGTATGGCCAGTGGGTGTTCTTTGCGAGTCGTTGACTTCGTTCTGTGTCGATACGGAGCATCTTAAACTCTTTGTATTCATTTTTTATAAGCAACATATGAATTATACGTAATTGTTTCATGCATTATTCAATTTAGTTCTAGGTAAAGTATTGTTGTATTTAATTGGAAAAAGTGTCTTTATACAGAAGTGTCTATTCAATTTTTATATGCAACATATGAATTATACATAATTGTTTCATACATTATTCAATTTAGTTGTACGTAAAGTATTGTTGTATTTAATTGAAAAAAGTGTCTTTATTCAATTTTTGTATGCAACATATGAATTATACATAATTGTTTCATGCATTATTCAATTTAGTTGTACGTAAAGTAATGTTTTGTTTAATTGAAAGAAGTGTCTTAAAAACTGGTTATTTGTCCCATCACAGTAGAAATAATTACAAATGAACATTGGTAGGTTTAGTGTTAACTTCCTTGGTTTCGAGTTTTTTTCTTCAGAACATGTATATTTACTGACTTATTTCTAGAGTAGGGATTCATCTCAATGTAAATTAGCACATTTGAGTAAATACTAGTCATCTTAAGATGCAGAGGAAAATTATGTAGTCAAAAATTAAAAAACAGTAGAAACAACAAAATTATTATACCGTTTACATAAAATCCTTACCTTGAAACTTGGAGAAATTTAGTTTCAATTTCATCGATACTTCTAAAGTATTAACCCTTCGCACTCGGGGGGTGACTTAGAACTTCTAAGTTAGAA